TAGGGTTTTAGGGTTTAGGGTTTTAGGGTTTAGGGTTTTAGGGTTTTAGAGATTAGGGTTGAGGGTTTAGGGTTTTAGGGTTTAGGGTTTTAGGGTTTAGGGCTTTGGGAGGAAGGGGAGACTTAGGAAATGTGCTGCTTAGACCCTGCATTGCCCGAAGAATCCCATCTCTGGCCTCTCCCTGCTGTCTTGCTGGCTATCTTAGGGTTTAGGGCTTAGGGTTTAGGCCCTAAACCCTAAGCCCTAAACCCTAAACCCTAAACTTTAGGGGCAAAAGGGCAGAAAAAGTACGACTCGACGGAGGCGAGTTGCAGCTTCGAGCACAGGAACCATTCGGAAATCTCCCTTCTTGCCTGGGGTGGCTGTCGGTTTGGAGGCTTCAGGGTTCAGGACTTCGCGGTTTTTTTAGGGTGGTTTAGGGTTTAGGGCTTAGGGTTTAGAGTTGAGGATTTCGAGGTTTTTTGGGGGTTGAGTGTTCAAAACAAACAGGCTCGAAAAGAAGGATCATGTTCCTTCTATCCTGGGTTGAGGGTTTAGGGCAGCGGCTTAAGATCGAAAACTGACCGTCTTCAGCCAAACCGGGGCTTCAACCTGTAAGTTGCGGGCTCAGAGCAGCCAAGCAGCTAAGTTAATCTGACTTAAGTTTAGGGTTTAGGGTTTCGGGTTTAGTGGTTTAGGATTTAGGGTTTTAGGGTTTAGGGTTGACTGACTATCCACCCTAAACCCTGAACCCCAAGCCGTGTATCCCAGGGACGGTGAAGAGGCTTCCATCCGAAAGGAGCACGGCCAGCTCTCTGCAAGAGGGGAGGAGGGCTGTGGCCAGGACCTGAGGTGTTTAGGGTTTAGGGTTTAGGGTTTAGGGTTCAGGACCTGAGGTGTAGGGCTTTGGATGTTGGATTTTAGGGTTTAAGGGTTTAGGGTTTAAGGGTTTGGGGATGTTTAGGGCTTAGGGTAGCGTACGGTTTATATGCTTTAGGGTTTAGGGGTTTAGGGCCTTAGGGGTTTGGGGTTTCGGGCCCACTATACTATAAGTATGATCAGGAAACCCCCCAAAATATTATTGGTATTTATTTAAGCCCCTACATTGTGAGAAACAAAGGCAGCACCCCACCTGCTCCGTCCTTTTCGGTCGATCCGGCGCCGTAGCCTCAGGCTCATTCCTGCAGTCCAGGCGGAGGCAACGCCCTCCCCGACTTACGAAAACCTTTCTCTCATGATTTCAGGGTGTAGGCTGTAGGGCGACGGGTTTAGGGTATAGGGTTTAAGGTTTAGGGCTTAGGGTTTAAGGGTTTAGGGTTTAGGGACTGCGCAACTAAGCATGGGGTCCAGGGAGCCTTTTTCGAACCTATTTCGGGTAGAAGAACTAACCGCTAGAACCGCCAAGCCCTCCAACCCTACCAAAACCCTAACCCAACACCCGAAACCCAACTAAACCCTACTAACCCTAAACCGAGGACCCTACTAAACCCTAACCCTAAAACCTAAAGCCCACTAACCGCTAGCAAACCCCAAGATCTCATGATCAAGCAACTGGTGGCTCGAATCTCCACAGCAAACGGCAACTGCCACACGCGTAAAGCATGCTATATCGGAAACCCTGCACCCTAAACCCTAAAAGCCGTACCCTAAACCCTAAACTCTAAGCCACCCTGTAAAAACTCTAAACCCTGCAACAGATGCACTAACATTGCCAGCGAAGGTTCCGCTGCAGAAACAAGGTCTGGGCAGACTTCACCACATGACCTTCAGGGCTGTCGTTAGGGTTCCTTTCAGGGTTTAGGGTTTAGGGTACAGGTGGGGAGTTTAGTGTATATAGGGCTTGTATAAGGCTTCTATAAGGTATAGTAGATGGAACTTCTATAAGGCTCCTATAACGGTAACTGCCCACCTGAAAATGTCCTAGACTGAGGGTTTAGAGTCCTTTAGGGTTTTGGGTTTAGGGCAGGGGTTTACAACTGAGGCTTTCAGGACCTGGGATGTCTTGGGCTTTTGGTTCAGGGTTTGGCTAAGGGTCCCCAAACCCTCCCTAAAGCCCAAAACCCCAAACCCTAAAATCCTAAACCCTAAACCCTGAGCCCCTAAAGCCTAAACCGAGGATGAGGCGTTTGTCTTAAAAAGTTCCGATGACTAGACTTGTCACTGCCAGGGAACTTCACGCAGGCAAACCCTAAATCCGAAACCCGAAACAAAAGTTCCCTAAACCCTAAACCCTAAACCCTAAACCCTAAACCCTAAACCCTAAACCCTAAACCCTAAACCCCCTAAACCCTAAACCCTAAACACTAAACCCCCTAAACCCTAAACAGTTTCATGTCAGCTTCGGCTGCCCGGGCCCGTCGTGCCTTCTATCATCCACAGCTTCAGCACCTCAGTCTTCCGAGGAACAGGCCTAAGGGTCCAAAGGACCCAATAATCATGTACTTGGAATACGGAGAGTAGTTTTGTAGGTTAGTATTCAGAAGAGTATATGATTATCAGGTACTTGGACCCTTGGGGCAGGCTTGTGGCCTTTGGGATCGGGGGCCTTTGGGGGGATTTCTTCTGAAGGTTGGGGCTTAGGAAGTTTAGGGTTGAGGGTTGAGCGTTTTTGTTTCAAGGCCCTTTTGCGTCTGCACGAAGTTCGGCCTGCAAGGGGGTAGGGCTTGGGGGAGTTTAGGGCACATGTTTTCCTTTTTATGCTGTTTAGTACCATTTCAAATACCCCTCTTCTGGGAACCTTGTAGTGCCTTCATAATTATATAAGAGCCCTTGTAAGAAACCTTATAGGAATCTTCTGGTACCCTTCGAGTACCTCTATAGGAACCCTTCCAGGGCTCCTCAATCTTCTGGCTCGAGCTGAGGCACCGTCGCCCCGGCATCGCGCGCGTTGCCTCCAGCGACCGCCACGGCCGTGCCCGGCTCCTCCAAGCTCAATCTCAGGTAGGTGGTGTGCACCTCCTCCTTGGAGAGAAACGGGCTTTAACGGCTGTGAGAGGGTTTCGAGTTTAGGGTTCGGGGATTTGTACCCTAAACCCTAAACCCTAAACCCCAAAAATTCCAGAAGGTAGGTGTTGTGGACCTCTTCCTTCGTGAGAGGACCCGGACCCCTGAACCCCAACTAAAACCCACCCTGAACCCTAAACCGTAAACCCTAAACGCTACACCCTACACGCTAAACCCTGCACCCTAAAACCCAAGCCCAATGCTCTACACCCTGAACCCTAAACTTCCTCAAACCCTAAACTCTGCAAACCCTAAACCCACAAAGCCCGACGTAAACTCTACACCCTTAACTCTAAACTCTGGACTTAACCCTAGAAACCCTGAAAACCCTGAACCCTAAACCCTATAACTCTGGACCCTTAACTCTAAACCCAAACCGGCGCAAAATCTGCCTGGGCTCCAACCCAGACCCCGAGCTTTCGGCCGCAAGCAACTGGAGGCCTTGCTTGGACACCTCCACAGTTCAGGGTTCGGCTACAGGGCTCCCGGTTTTGGGTTTAGGGTTCCGGGTGTAGCCTTAGTAGGCTTTAGGGTTCCGGGTTTAGGGTTCAGGGTTACCGGTTTTGGGTTTAGGCTTTAGGGTTAAGGGTTCAGGTTCAGGGTTCCGGGTTTAGGGTTCCGGGTGTAGGCTTTAGGGTTCCGGGTTTTGGGTTTTGGGTTCAGGGTTTTAGGTTTAGGGTTCAGGGTTTAGGGTTCCGGGTGTAGGGTTCAGGGTTTAGGGATCCGGGTGTAGGCTTTAGGGTTCCGGGTCTTGGGTTTAGGGTGCAAGCGTGGTGATATAGGACCTTGATCACGAGAAAATGGTTTGGGGTGGTATTTATTGTCTAGTATAGTTGTAACCAGCAATTCGAGGTCTGATATTGGTAATTATGCATGCTTCTATGTTGGTTGCCTTCTTGTCTTGTTGGGGTTGCAGGGTTTTGGGATTAGGGTTTGGTTTAGGGCTTGTTGTTCATGGCCGCTTCCTCTGAAAAGGGTACTTCGGGTTTGCGAGTTAGGATCTGAGGTTGAAGACTCACGGCTCGCTCTCTTGGATTGAGAGGCCCTAGACCCTAAACCCTAAACCCTGAAGCCTAAACCCTAAACGCCCTAAACCCTGAACCCTAAAAGCCCTAAACCCCCTAAACCCTAAACCCTAAACCCTAAACCCTAAACCTTATGGTGTAGAACATGTCTGCAAATGGTGTCACCTTTAAAAGGTCCCTAACATCCGACCCGAGCATCCCATGAAAGTCGGATGTGGGGTCTAGGCGATTTAGGGCTTAGGATTTAGCGCTTGGAGCTTAGGGTTTAGGGCTTAGGGTTTAGGGTTTAGGGCTTAGGATTGTAGGTAAGGCGGTTTAGGGTTTAGGGCTTAGGGTTTAGGCTTTAGGGTTGTAGGTAGGGCGGGTTAAAGAAAGGCATTCTCGTCAAGTTTGAGGAGCATATGGGGCACTTCTCTAGGGCATGATCGTTGCTTGCTCTGCGTTATTGGCCTCTCCAGGATGTGACAGCATGTTGCTGTACCCAGCAGCAGTGGCTCGTCACGTCATACAACGAATGAACATAGTCAAAGTAGCCATGCCGCCATGCAGCAAACAGCACGTCTGTTTATCGGTCTAAGGGTGCAGAAACCTACGTACGATTGAAAATACATGAACATACATACACATGTTGCTAGTTCTCCATTGTTCGCTGATAAGTTTAGATTATAGTTGCACACTGAGCGACACACAGAAAACGAGTCCGGTCTACGAAAGTCTGCTACACTATATACAATAGCATCAGCACGACCTGTGTGTCAAGCCCTGAAGCAAGATGGGCTGCTTCTCTCGCACATGGGGCTCTAGGCTGTGGGCGCTTGGCAGTATGACTTCTGGGATGTCTGTGTTGAGCATGTTGGCAAGTGTCAATGGCGATATTGGTACGAAGCTTACACCTATTCGACCATGGCGCGTACTGTTGGCAATTCGGAAAGCAGCTTGTAACATGGGTCAGCGTGCTGTGACTGTTAACTGACAAGGCTTCTGTTGTGATTGACAGGCTTGTAAAGGGTTGGAAAATGATAGCTCCAACGAACTTGTAATACTGCAAACACATAAGACCTGCATAAGACCTAAACTGCCCCAAATCCTAAACCCTAAACCCCCAAACCCTCAAACCCTCAATCCCTAAACCTTAAACTCCCCTTCCCCCTCCCTCCGCCCCAAAAGAAAAACGCCACACCTGCCCAAACTCCAGCGTTGCGTCCTGGCGGAAGAGCGCCAAGTGGCGACCGCCTCCCGCAGCTGCATTGAAGTATCCCCCAACCCGTTGGGGAGTCTAGGCTTTAGGGTTTAGGGTTTAGTGTTTCCGGTTCAGGGTTTGTGCTTGATATAGAAAACTGTTTATGGGTGTTGGTTACATGTGATGTAGGTGCTCATGGTTGTTTTTTAATCGGCCTCAATAATCAGAATCGGCTTGCCTCCGGACTTCCGTTTGAAAGGTTCCTCATATATAAAGTTCCGGCCAGAACGATTAGAAGTTTGGGGGAGTATATTCTGTTACACCTATAATAAGGAACGCTAAAACAAAGACTTACGAAGGACTCAGGCCCTTACCCTACCTGTCGCAACTCGAGGTCTAGCGTTTAGAGTAAACCTGGGTTCTCGTTGAGGGACTTGGTTCAAGTGACCATGATATCATAAGCACCCGTAGGGGGTGAGCGGGAAGGGAAGGGGGGTAGGGGGCCTTGATACCTGTATTAAGGACCTAATAAGGCCTATTTTTAAAGGAAGTATGGTGCCCTTCCCCTCTCCCCCTTACCCTTTTAAGGGCCCTTATGAATGCTAGGGATGCTGGTGTTGAGGAGGTTTCCTTTAAGTTCTTAAATGGGAGCCCAGAGACTGGGGCCTTAATAAGTAGAATAGGGTTTTGGGGGCTCCTTTAAAGGGTTCCTTTAAGGGTTCTATAAGGGCCATTATATAAGGCCTTAACAATGTTTTGGGACCCATTATACTATAATCATAATAAGGAGCCCCCAAAAATATTGGTAAGTAATTATTTAGGCCCCGATATTATAAACAGAACCCGAGCACGACAACTGCTTCGTTCTGCCGGAACTTCCCTGTTCTACCTTCAGCGAGGCTGCCTGCGATGATTTATCGAACGTTGAGGAGGGTTTTAAACTTCTGCACAAGAACCTTACAACCTCTCAACCCCAAACCCTAAACCCTATACCCTAACCCTATAACCTAGGCCCTATACCCTAAGCACTAAGCCCCGAACCCCAAACCCCAAACCCGAAGCCCCAAACCTGCAATCCTAAGCCCAAAACCGTAAAAAACCCTCAAAACCCTCAACACCCTCCCCAAAAAGAAAAACATAAAAACCCTTACCCGAAACCCTAAACCCTAAACCCGAAACCCTAAACCCTAAACCCGAAAACCCCGAAAAGACAAAACCCAAAACCTGGAAGCCTTGGAGGGCGTAGGCATCGCGGAGACTGGAGCCCTCATGCCAGGAAAGCTCCAGACCGCCCGCCTCCGCTTGGTTCGGTTTAGGCCCAAACCCTAAAACCCTAAAACCCTAAACCCTAAAACCCTAAAACCCTAAAGCCCTAAAGCCCTAAAACTAAGTGAGGGGTCGCTTCCGTCGAGCGACAGACCCCGAACGCTTGGCCGAGGGCCTCACAGCCCGAGCGCCCATACGAAAAGAGCGGGAAGCGGACAGGTGAGGGTAAAGCCTCACCGGTTTGTCTTGTACAGACCAACTTATATGGCTTTCGTTACGCCAACGTCAGTACTCAATGATGGTCTGGCCGTTTCCAGACCTCCCTTCAGCGTAGCTAAAGTATAACCCCAAACCCTGAACCATTTCCGCTGGGGGTGGTGTCGGTTTAGGATTCAGGATTTAGGATTCTAGGATTTAGGATGTAGGATTCCAGGTTTTACGAGTTAGGATTCTAAGGTTTAGGATTTCGGATTCTGGGGTTTGTTTAGGATTTAGGCTTCTGGGGTTTAAGATTTAGGATTTAGGAATTAGGATTCTAGGGCTTATTAGGATTTAGGATTTAGGATTTTAGGGTTTTGGATTTAGGATATCGGAAGGTTAGGGTTTAGGATATAGACTTCCAGCGCCTTCTGCAGGGGGTGCCCCAGGATTTGGTCAAAATCCTTCGTTTCGTAATGATATTTAATACAAGTTTCAATAGCAGATCTGGGCACTTCCTTTCCCGGACTTTGTTAGGATTTAGGATTCTAGGGTTGAGGGTTTAGGATTCTAGGATTTAGGATTTAGGATTTTAGGGATTGAGATTTGGGATTTAGGCTTCTAGGGTTTTGGATTTAGGATTCTGGGGGTTAGGATTTCGGATTCTTGGGCTTAGGATTTCGGATTCTAGGGTTTAGGCTTTAGGATTTAGGATTCTCGGGTTTAGTTTTTAGGATTCTAGTGTTGAGGATTTGGGATTTAAGCTTCTAGGGTTTAGGAGTTTAGGACAGCAGTTCTCATTTGAAGTACAACATCCAACTTTCTACGCAATGCGAATGCACAGGGCTTAAGAGGCTTGACTGCAGACGTGGGGGCAGCCTGTCTGCCCCGTCAACTTCGGGCGCAAGCATACCTACCCGGAAGCTGACCCTGGCCCACGGCTTCGCTTTTCCGGAAGAGCCTCCGGAGCCGCGATTGCCGTGCTGGCGTCTCACTTTCTCGAGCTTCCAGTCTGTGCATGCTACCATTTCCTTTTACTAGGCTCCTCTGTCGTCGTCGCGTTGTTCGCTTCTGTTTCGCGGAATCTTTGTTTCCCGGCTCTGGGGGTATCGCGAGGTAAGGCCTCTGCTACTCCTGCGTCAGCTGCTGGGCCCTCCAGGCTGCACGCAGTAAATCGGGGTGCACTACGCAGGTTATTAAAGGGTTCTCTACCGCAAGCCTCTGTGTTCGAGGCGTTGGTCGTCCAGGCCTCAGAATATGTCTTGACGAAGCAGTTGTTTGTACCGACTCTTGTCGCCGCGTCTCGTAGTGCGCTGCGTAGTGCAGCTGCACCTCCTATACAAGATGGAGAAATGGATTCTGCTACGCTTCGGCCCAGCTGCACCGGCCTGGTCGTCCGGCTCCCGGTCCGATAGCTTGCCCAACTGCTTCTTCAAAGCATCAAGGTCCTGCCCACGGGTCTTCACGGCTTACTTTTCATCGTCTTGACACCGGGCCTCCTGAAGTCGCAGCGCGGCCGCTGCAGCGGCCCTCTTCTTCGACCCTTAGGTGCGGTTTTGCATTCTTTCTTTTTGTCTCACGGCTTTTAACCAACTTCGTTTTGGCCTGGCTCGAATGCTTTGAATTTTTTTGACTAGGCCCCGAAGCCGGACCTCTTCGTCGCCGCTTGCGGCACCGGCTTGAGCTCTGCCCTGAGGAGTTTGCGCCGGAGGTTTTCCGGCCGCTTTACCGCTTTGCGGGCCTGCCCGCCGATAGTTGAACGGTGCCATTTGAGCGATACTTGAG